AAGCTTATGCTCTAATAAATTTGTTAGTCTCTAAGGTGCCACAAGTACTCCTGTTCTTCTTTTTGTCTAATTAGTGTACCTAACTTTCTGCCTTATGCGTTGTTCTTGAAGGAGGAAATCATGATAACATATCACTGCTATCATGAGCCTGAATTTAGGATGACATTTTTTGTTTATTTGCAACCTTCATGCTGATGCATGATCTTTTTATATTTTTAGTTCTGAAAAAATTCATCTCATGACCACTGGTTTCCAAAGTGTCAGAGAAATGAGAGGGAGTCTATCATAAAACCAAATCCTTTAAAAAAAAAAACCACTTCTCTACACTTACAGCTTTCCCTACTGCTAATTAGGGGGGATGGGAGAAAAGATACCCTTTTGAAAAAAGCTTTTATAAGATTCTCTGGGTCAAATAGCAATCTTCTGTAAACAAGCCCCATCTCACCACCAGTGTTGGGGTTGCACTGAGGTAAATCAGAAAGGAAATTTCTTTTTAAAATTCCCCCAGATAGCATTACCACGAGCAGAGAAAACCAAATATTTCTTTTGTGAGAACTCCAGTTCTAGACAGGCATGGGTGAACCTATAGAACCGAACTTAGGGTCCACAGAATTAGTTTAGGTTTGCACAATTTTTTCACTGTAATTAAAGTTCAGTTTTAATTCAATGGTGATCCATTTTTTAAAAATAACAAAAAACATTTTCTCTAACCACAAGGAATACTGTTATATAATTGAGACAGAGGCCCCTTCCCCCAAAGTAGTTTTTCCACAAGTGGGTGCCCTCTATATTTAGTATTTATTTTATCATTAGAATGCTCTGTTACCTTTCTGATCCTTTGCCTCCCCATAGTCTCTATGTAATTGTTTTTTCACTCTGCTCCATTTTCACCCTCTTTGAATTGAATTATTTACTTTCTACCTCCTGTCTGTTCCTCCTTATACAGCCTCTCTTAGCCACGATGGAAACCCAGTAACCTTAGTCTTAGAGTCAAACTTTTTCAACCATGAAATCTGAGTGACTTCAAAATCAAGCAAAATTATGTTTGCCCATCCCTGGTTCCAGCATGAGGGATTTAATCCTCTCTATTAGTTCTTTCATTAATACCAAGAGAAAATACATGAGACTTCTTTCCAGTTTCAAATCAGCCCTCCTCCAAAAATTGATATAGCCTACCTTTCACTCTATAAGTATAAATATACATAGGAGCATTGCCAGCAGATCGAGGGACGTGATCATTCCCCAATATTCGGTATTGGTGAGGCCTCATCTGGAATACTGTGTCCAGTTTTGGGCCCCACACTACAAGAAGGATGTGGAAAAATTGGAAAGAGTCCAGCAGAGGGCAACAAAAATGATTAGGAGGCTGGAGCACATGACTTTTGAGGAAAAGCTGAGGGAACTGGGATTATTTAGTCTGTGGAAAAGAAGAATGAGGGGGGATTTGACAGCTGCTTTCAAAGAGGTTCCAAAGAGGATGGACCTAAACTGTTCTCAGTGGTACCAGATGACAGAACAAGGAGCAATGGTCTCAAGTTGCAGTGGGGAAGGTTTAGGTTGGATATTAGGAAACACTATTTCACTAGGAGGGTGGTGAAGCACTGGAATGGGTTACTGAGGGAGGTGGTGGAATCTCCTTCCTTAGTGGTTTTTAAGGTCAGGTTTGACAAAGCCCTGGCTGGGATGATTTAGTTGGGGATTGGTCCTGCTTTGAGCAGGGGGTTGGACTAGATGACCGCCT